TTGTTAGATAATTGATCTGCCTCTGTTCACTAACATTGAGGATATCGTTTTTAGAAAGAAAACTTAAATGCATATAAACCATCTTTATGAGCGTCAGTGAAACGTCGTTGTTTTTGGCCCCCAGTCACTGTCAGCAGACTGAGCTCGCACCTAAACCCGAAGCGGAAGCTGCACAGGCTCCAGAACCCGACGGTTTCTCCTGCTCTCTTTGAAGAGCTCCTGGCACGGCTTTCAAAGCCCCTCTGTCTCAGTGCTGGCTCCTAAAATAATGTGCGGTAAATGTAATACAGCTGCCCAGCTGAGCGGGAACTGACAATGCTTATTATTCTCCAGAACAATAATTGCTTTTATTTATGCTTTTTTGCGATTTTTCTATTCTACATTTCATGAATTCTACACGACCAAGTTACGCGTCGTTATCAACTAACACTTTGTATTTAATTTCGGACTGGAAATATTGTCCCACATGTACGATACTCAATCCACTGAGCGGTTTATGTGGTGCTGATGCAGCAACAGTTTGATAGTCCTGTAAAAAATGTTCCAGTAAAACACACACACACTCACACACACTGCCTGCGGAGCAAAATCATGAAGTCATTGTTGGTCGTGTCTGTTTTGTGTTGAATATGAATAGACAGCAGCTGTAATGTCCATTGATTGTTCCAGTCTTTAGACGGAGGCTTACACTTACAAAATACGCATTGTATTTCTCTAAACTCCAAAAACAGATGTTCAGATGAATGTTATTTCCTAAAAATCTAGTTTTTACACTCTGTACTTGAAGTATTTGGCTTTTGGATCAGGTGCACAAACATCTATCTGTGTGTATTTGTACTCTTTAAATATTTTCTCACGGCTCATTCTGCGATTGCTCTAAATCGCTTGTTTGAACACTTTGCAAAAGCAATGCATTGCAGTGATTTGTGTTAGAGAGGGAATGGGTCTGGTAAACTGGATGCTTCCTAACACCTGTGTTTTGTATGTTAGCCTCAGGGAGGAAGGGGGGGCTGGTTATTTTAATGAGAATACTCTGTTTAGCCTCACATGCCTCTCATTACTGCCCAGAGAGTGAACAGAAGAAGAGAGGATTGGAGACATGAATGGTAAACAGATGCTCACGGTACTGGAGGATGCATTATTAGTGCTTGACGTGTCACAGTTTTAATAAGTCTACCTTGGTTTGAGATTAAACAGAATCCACAATTTGCCCCTGCATGTGCTACTGAAACACTTAAAGGAATAACTTGACTTTTTGGGAAAGCAGTTGGAATTAGTTTCTTTCTAGGGCTTAAATTAGAAGACCAAGCTACAGTTAACGTACCCCAAAATAAAGACTAAAACCGAAGAAAGTTTGGCTGCAACCTCCATTAATAACAATAATTTTCACCATTGATACATGTGCCATACAACCACTTTCTTTATTAAAATTACAATGCAAGTAAAACTCTATTTATATAGCACCCTTCTCAACACGAATGTACAAAGTGCTTTACATACAGTACACGATACAAAATACAATGACTGACCAGACTGACCAGTTTACTTTGAATGGAAGTCCATGTTGTTGGTTAGCTGTCTGAAAAGCATCCGGGGCACCCTGATTGAAAATGTTTGATTGATGCATGGATTTTCAAGATTATTTGTTTTAAGATACTGTAGCAGGAAAAAATTGTTGTCAATACATACTTTCCACACAATAAAACGTCACTAAATGTCTTGTTTTGCACAATCAAAAGTCCAGAAACAAAAATAATGCAACGTACTATCTGATAATAGGAAGAACACCAGCAAGTTCTCACAATTGAAAACCTGAAACCATAAAAAGTTCGGCATTTTTTGTAAAAAAAACAACATTTTGACTGATATACTTATCATTGCAGCTCTAGGCCAAATGTAAAAAACTAGTGCCTCCAAAGCTCAGTAATTAACATTTTATACCTTGTTTTTTTTTTAAACTGAAACCAATACTAACTCCATGAAGTTTGTACTGCTGGGCCAAGACATAATCTGGCAATAACCCACCTGTACAACCACAACTCTATGTATTAAACATAATAAGATAATAAGAGTTGCTGGTAAGAGGTAGGTCCCCTTGCTTTAAGTTTTATCTCTCCATATTAAACAGATATGAGAGTGATACCAGTGTCTCTCTTGGCAAGATAGAAAATAGGCTGATAAACCAAATGTTCCTTTTAAATGTTGACAATCCAGCTCCCCTGTTCCCACAGCCCCTAAATACTATAAGAAAGACCCTTTTGTGGTGGGCCTGGCTGCAGTGAGCATACCTACAGACATCCCCCCTGTCCCCACATAATAACCTGCCTCCAGCTGTGGAAGCTTCACCAGCTCAGCTCCAAACAACCAGTGCCTTAACTAGGAGGTATTTCCAAGTTTTATGCATTTTTTTGGCATCACTTTAAATGGTCTGAGAAGCAGCTGGAATGCCACACTTTGGGAAAATCCCTTCAATTTTTCTCTCCACTTCTGTAATTGGAAAATGCCCAACAAAGAGTTACCCTACAGAGGTTCTCCTCAGGACAAAACTCTACTGAGGAGATGGCTGTAGGAATATTATTGTTTTTTTTTCCATTCACAATTTACCGTTATGTTTATCCGGCCCTTATCTCTGTGACTGAGAATTTCGTGGAACTTATCTGTAAAATTGAGGATCCTGTTTTCATCCCCTGTGCTTCATCAGTTCGCAGCGTGAGAAAAAAGATCAGCCAGTGTGTAAACTACTCACAATAACATGTAAAATGACATTTAAAAAATCTAACTAAAACGCAGCAGATGTGACGTCAGTGTCAGGTTGTATAGGGCTCTTTCTCTTCCCCTCTAAGTTAATAAAAGATACAGAAGTCTAAACGTTTCATTCAATGATTTAGAGGCCTGCAGTATGTTGTTTATTAGTGTAGGGATCCATGGGAAGCTTCTGTGGGAGTTTCTGTGTATTATCTCAGGCTTATTCCACGGTTTTTGTAGCAAAATCACTGCTTGCTTTCCCACTGTTTGAACCCAATGCTAATGTTGATTATACCTTATTCGATTGCGTTTAATTTCCTTATCAGAATATCACTTTACATAAAAACAAAGTCGGTGTTTTTTCGGAAAACGCCTGCTGCTGTAGGGCAGGCCAGGTCATAAGTGGATAGAAACATGTTTAAAAATAAATTGTAGCTCTAGAAGTCATTTGTTTGGCAGAATGATTTACAATAGAGTCTATGCTTAATTGATATATATTTTGTTTGTTTATGAGAACCACTGCTGTTGTAAAGGTAGTGGATGCGCCCTGAGCATGCTGATAAATGAAAAGCATTGTCACAGAAACAATGTCTTCATTGTGACGTCAGTCATCTATCAGTACAAACATCCTCTTTTTGAGATATACCAATCTAATCTGCTCCATTTATCCAAGGGAAGTAATCATGTGCACTGTTATTGGAAGGCTCTGCAATCCTGTAAATGTTGTCACTATTGAGTTCAGACTATTGACCTGACTGTTAACCCGGGCTGAGTGCTGCTCTGTCTGTACAGTAACCAATAAAAAGACTCAACAGGGCTGGGTAAACCAGGAACAGTCAGCCATTAGTTAATTATCTACAGCGTGATGTATGTGTGTCATTAGTATGAAGAGGCAGAGTAACCTGATCTGCTGCTCACTATGTTGACTTTACAAGGCTCCTATTGAGTTTTCCTTAGTCAGCCCTTAAGGACAGATTGCATTCTTGGATCATGGATTAATTGATGCTGTGATTAAGTAGTCGTATTTGTAGCAGTGCTTCTGCTAACTGTTGTTATTATTGAAGGGTCTATAGAAGAGAGATTGCCTCCACCAATGTATGAAGATATTCTTTTGCTTTTTTTATGAAACGCAGCATTAAAGCAGCATGGTTTTCTGGCCACTAACGTAAACAAAACTTTGACATTTTCCTTTTAGTGTTGTTTAAGTGAACAAATAGTTGCCTTTGAAATATGCAAAAGGCACAGGGCAAGAGTGTCATTCATTGTTCAATCTCTGTTGTAGCTCTGTTTTTGGTCTCCACCACCTCCTGATGGAAATATCTGGCTCTTTAGCTGCTCAATAATACACTGTGCTTAATAACTTGGGTCAACTGACGTTTTAGTGCTGGGCAGGTAGTGTACAGTTAGTTTATCAAAGTTGTTTTTCTGGTGAGATGAACCAAAACTGTACATTTAAACGTCCTGTAAAACCTAAAGAGTGGGCTAAAAAATGTCTTAGTACTTTTTAGAGCTGGGGGGAACTGTAGAGTTGTGTGATAATTTTCTGTGGGATTATCATTGGGGGAAACTTTTCATTTTATACATAGTCATTTGAACCACTGCTAATATATAGAAATGTGGTTTAACCTACAAGGAAAAGAGCAAAAGGGATGTATCGCACAACAAGGCCATCTAGGCACTATTTAAACCATCATCTAGTGAATACATGTGATCATAAAATGAATACCTGCTTAATCAAAACAGCCTTTTGAGTTTTCACAAGTTGAAGTTAAGTAGAAGCAAAATGCTGAAATGAGTTAAAGTTAGTGATCCACCAGTTGGACCCATGTTTCAATATCTCTGTTGATTTCAGATTGAAATGAGGTTGTGGGAAAATGGATTGTGGTTTTGAAAGCACCTTTCACACAGGGTTTAGGATTTATCCCTCTTAGTGACTTGGCTGGATTATATAATCCACACACAATGTGTTGTTGTGCTAAACATTATGCGACTTTCCCACAGGGACCCACGTCACATCAAACGAGGTTTGCAAGCATCAGCGTCTCTTTTTTGATGAACATGTGAAACAGTTGAAACGTTTGTTCTCCAGGTGCAGCTGCTTGTCTGTCTCAGGTTTAGATGGAAAATACCAGTGAGCTAAAAGAAAAGATGCTCATTAAAGTTGTGGAGCCACCAATGAGTGAAGTGTGTCTCTCCTGAGATGGGATGGATTTGTGATTTGGACTCATCGCTGCATTGTCCTGCTGTCTCCACAGGTGGTGAGAGGACTCTAACGTCATCTGGATTTAACTGAAGAACTCGTCTCTGCGTCCACACCAGAGGTTTGTGTTGTTTTTGTCTGAGGTGTATTTGCCATTTAATTGCATCTCCACTCTTTAGTCCACTCACATGTTCCTTTGTGGAGCTTTTCCTCTGGAGATGTAAGACCCTTTGGAGTTGTGTAGACTAACAAAACAAGCAGAAACGTGGCTTCCTGCTTTTCTTGTTATATTATTGGGGTTCCTGGCACCTGCCTCTTACCGGTGGAAACACAAGCTGTTGTCATGGCCCCTATTGTACCGGCAGGTGTAACATCACTGCGTTAAAGTTAGCTTCTTACTGTGAGCAATTGCTTCCTACACACAGTCATCTGTGGAAGTGACAACCATTTTGTTTTTCTTTATTTGGCATTTTCACTGCACTTTACTCACTTGTTTTAAGTGGATGATGCTCTGTTGAAGAGTTTGCACAGTTACAGTTTTGGAGTTGTTTTGTTTAGTTGTCAAGCCACCGTCAATCAAATCTGATCCACACAGATCTGAATACAAGCTTTTCTCTAAACTCTTTATGTATTAAAAAACTGCCACGGATGTATTTAAATGTATCTGAACTAGTTTCTTATTTTGTTGTTGTTGAATTTGACATCCATTGCCTTCAATGTATTTATATAGAAATGGACATGCAGCTAAACACATTTTAATTACTTTTTACACGTATACATATATATATTTTAAAGTGTAGATAGGCCGTACTACAACAACAACAACAACAACAACATTTACATTTGTAATTAGTAACACATGGTTTTGGCTTTTAATTGGGGCCTCACAATTTGAGATTGATTTCTTTTTTGGATACATTTAAAGGCATGTGGAGTTAAATCAACCATTGATTTATAGCCAAACCTCATGCAATTGTATACAATAGCTATAAGCTTCTGGATTTCAAGGACAGCTCAGCATTTGCAATGCTGTTGAATTTTGTGTTTCGCTTAGAAGTGTTATTTATCTTATTATATTTTTCCACTTAACGACCCTATGAGTCATCTTGTGTCCCCTGTGTTAAATCCTGTGGACTGCTGCCAATGTGACCTTTAGTCAAGTGAATAGGAAACAGCATCTTAATCAGCTCCAAGTTCATGCTGTCGTATCTTCATTGTCTTCCACGCTGACTGTCCGGTGTGTTTATCAGGATGAACCAGGAAGTTGGGGGTGTTGCGGGGGTGTTGCGGGGGTGTTGGTGTGTGGGTGCCTGTTTTTCCAATATGGAGGAAAACAACGTGGTGAGAGATAATGAGCAGGGACCACCTGTGAAGGTCATTTCAAAGTGGAAAGCCCCCTGCTAAGATAACAAACAGAATAATGGTTTGTCATTTGCTCCTAAAATAGGGAGACTTTATGTCAGCGGCCCACTTCCTGTTATCTCACACTTGTTTTTGACTTCACTTGTCTTTGTCTTTCACACATGAACGGGAACAGGCTGCCCCTCAGGTTTAACCTTTGAATTCAGTTTAAACACACTTATCAGGAAGTTTGATAAAAAACTCATGTGTTATATGTTAATACCCTAAGCTGTTATCCAGAGATCATTTATTCTGGAAATATGAGACATGACAGTTTTGTATACATCCTGCCATGTCAGCTTTTAATCAGACACATTTTTCCTATTGTGTCTGCAGGATACCACAGCGGTGTCCAGTGTGAAATAATCTTTTTATATGAAAAGCGGGACTCTTTGTCTGCAAGTGAAAGCATTTACACATCTCACTTTACTCCCCGAAACCGGTCTGACAATAGCAACACGCTTCTACATTTCTCAGCTTCCCACCTCTCTGTTTTGTCTTCCGTGTCTCCTTTTCACTCAGCTTCTCTCCTCATTTGTCTCCATCCCTCAGCTCCTCGCCTCCCACTCATGTCGTTACCGTGATTTGCCAAGGGCCTGCGAGCGGGGATGATATCACTTGATACTTTTATTATCCGAAACTCGAGAGAAACTCGGTGCCAACGTTCCTCGGCTGTGCTTACTTTTGATTTTTTAGGAGGGTATCAGGTTAAGCATGGAGTGCCCCCAAACGGCAATGGTTCTGCCTCCCTAGGGGCGTTTTGATAAAGCGGCCATCTCAGTTTGCAGGGGAGTTAGGATTAAACTGCACTCATCCCAAGCACAAAACACGGTGAGAATAATGCCCTAGAGAAGAGGGCGAAATACCATCCACTCGCCTCAGCAGAGAGGCTGATTTCCTGAGTCTGGCCTGGAAAACAAAAGGGATTTGAAGTGGAAGGACTTTCCTCCTGCGACCCCTGTGTTTACGGTCCCCGGGGCTGTTTGAAGGGCTAAGGTGGGGCTGGAAATGATTAGGCATAATGGACACAGTGTTAGGCCTCAGGGCCCCCAAACTCTGCAGCTCTTTAACAGTGGGAACCAGAGTGAAGTGCCGGGCTCCTCAGGGCTCCCCAGAAAGCAGCACTCAGGAATTAGGTGTCAAGAATGTAGCTTCACATTTCTTGGTTATTATTCCTTTAACAAAAAAACTTAACCTCTGGCAAATGTCCAATATCTGCAAGGTGATATACTGTCAAATGTATTGTTAATTAAATGTCGCATGGAAGGACGATTTGTAGTTAATGTACTGCTTAAACTGCCTTAGGCCCAGCAGGGATTTAAGCTACATGCTCATGCTTAAAATGATAATGTTCTCATGCTGTTTAACAGCTATAATGGTGACCTTGGTAACAACTTTCTTTGGCATGTTACCATGCTTTCTTATGCTAATTGGCACTAAACACAATCACAAGTACAGCTGAAGTGTAAAACATTCTTAAGTTTTGAAGGAATTTGGACATAAACAAAGTATTTTATAAAGTGAATATTTTAATGGGAATGCTGATACACCAATATCTGTTACGGTTCTTCAACAAAACGTTCACATGTAAGAGATGTATCTCTCATTCAGAACAATGAAAAGGATGAAGAATGAAATTACTACACATCACCATGGAAACCTTTGATCTCTGGACACCTTGTTAGCTCAAATATAAACACCTGTGTCATGGAACACGATGATGTCATAACTCCAACTGAAATGCTCAGAGCAGCAGACTTCAGATAATGGTTAATGGTCCTGCTCTCAACAGCTCTACATCAAATATGATGTTACGTAATGTGGTGTTACTATGGCAACGCATCCCTCGCCATAAAACAGCAGCGGACTTCAGATAATGGTTAATGGTCCTGCCTTCAACAGCTCTACATCAATTATGGGGTGTCATCATATGCCGTTTCCATGGAAACGCCATAAAAACACGCCATAAAACACGATGTTGCTGTAACTCCAATGGACACGGTCCGATCGTCCCCCAAACTTCGCTTGTATATCACCGGTCCATGCCTCAACAGCTCTACGCCAAATCTGAGATCTCACCATAGGCTGTTGCCATGGAAACGCATCCCTCGCCATAAAACACGATGTCGCTGTAGCTCCAATGGACACAATCCGGTCCCACAATCTTCACCTGTATATCACCTCTCCATGCCTCAACAGCTCTACCTCAAATCTGACATCTCACCATATGCCGTTTCCATGGAAACGCATCCCTCGCCATAAAACACGATGTTGTCGTAACGCCTATGAAAAGGGTCAAAACAGCACCACACTTCAGATAATGGTTAACGGTCCAGCCCTCAACAGCTCTACGTCAATTATGGGGTGTTATCATATGCCGTTTCCATGGAAACGCATCCCTCGCCATAAAACACGATGTCGCTATAACTCCTATGAACATTTTCAAAAAGTGCTCAAACTTCACATGTGTGCTAACAGTCCAGCCGTGAAGACATCTACGGGACAGTTTTGAGATTTATTCAAATGCCGTTGCCATGGCAACACAATGCTCACCATGAAACACGATTTTTTTCATAACTTCAGTGAAAATGCTCCAAACGGCCCAAAACTTCACAGGTTTGGGAACGATGCAGCCATCAACACATCTAAGCGTATTATGGGGGTGTAATCAAATGCTGTTGGCATGGTGACAGATCATTCGCCATCAAGTTAGTTCAAAAGTTTGCAGTTCAAATATTCTGCTGCTTTTCCAAGCCTTTTTACTTTATTTTCTTCTCATCACACATTCAAGCCCCCAGTGTTCATGTATCATTTCAATCTAAATTCTTCACTTTCTTTCTACACATTACATTTCAGCATAGCAGTTTAGCGTCAGCTTTTCAGCCTAAAGCATTCCCACTAGCAATTTCTTCAGGAATTGCACTCTCTAGTTGGATCTGATGCTGGCCCTAGATTAAACTAATGGGATCATCAAATGTTTTACAATTTATCCTTAAGGGAAACATGAGTGTCTTGACCAAATGTTATGGTGATCCATCTAATTATTGGTGAGATATTTCAGTCTGTGATTAGTAACATTATATTATATCTTACGTCACTAGCCTGGCACAATCTGTTATCTACCACAGTTTTTAAGTTGAAACCCCCCGCAGTACTGTTTGTTTTCATGCAGAAACCAGTTCTTCTGTTTTGGTTTCCGAACAACAAACAGTAGTGACAGTTGCCCTGTTGCCATTGTTCCGTGTTATCTCTGTTTTGTTGCTGCTCCTCAGCCTCTTTAATTCTCGGCTCAAACGAGCAGGCGTTGACATTCAACTGCTCAGAGATGCCATGCAGACTAAGTCAGACCAAAGACAAAAAAACTCTCCTTTGTGGCACAAAACAATCTTTCAGAGTCTGCGGCGTTCCTGTTGGCCACCCACTCTGAGACCGCTGCGATGTGTCAGATGCTCTTTGTTTTCCATCACCCTCTTAACCCTTGTGCTGTGGGCCCGCCATGCGAGGGCTGTTATGGTCAACACGAGAAGATGAGGGATTGTTGACCCCCGCCTTCCTCCACAGAGGCACAGCTGAAGAATGACCCCCCCCCCCCCCCCCCCCCTTCGCCTACTGCAGCGACTCCTGCTCCACCTCACCATTCAAACCAGACTGACACACAGTCACTCAGATCGTATAAGCAGATGTTGCCAGAGGGGAAACAGTTGACCACTCGCAGCGAGA